TTTAGTTCCAGCCTTGAAGGATGACTAAGAACCACAGTCTTGGTCAGATCTGTTGTTCATTGACTGAATGACATAATAACAGTGACAATAATTGCATCCTATTTTGATTGTAAACCAAGGTATCAGATTTCAATGGAAAATTGCACCAAAAGACATGGTCATGCAATGGAAATGCTATGTCATATTTGGGTTGGAGTTTACTGCTTCTGTAAACAGTTCAAGCAGCTACTCAATCCAGCTGATCCTCCTACTGTTGATTTTGGAAGGATGCCATCTGCAATTAGACCCGTGGGGACTTATTGAGGATAATGATGAATAATCTGTGAACCATCGTCAGTTTGTACAGTTAAGTGTTCCTTTCCTCATGTGTTGTCATTAGGGTTTGCAACTGTGACCGGGTTTCAGAGTACCCTGTCCTTTACAGAAATACCATAATCTAATGAGCTGTTTAATGCCACCTGTGGAAAAAGTAAACGAGGAGACATAACTAATATGCTGCTGAATTCAATTAGATCATGGAAAAATACATTTAGTAATAGCTTCCAATCCTGGGTTTGCCATTTATTGGCTATGTGTCCTTGGGCCATTTACTAACCTGTTTCAGCCTATTTTATTCACTGATCTCGTCCTTGTAGAGTTGTTATGAGGATTAAGAGAGATAATCCATGCAATTAATGTCGAGAACTTGGCACTGTTTTCACCCCCAAAAGCTTATTCAATTTTAGCTCTTGTTTTTATTAACAGCTTAACTATGACATCGTATGTGAAGGATGAAATGAATCAATTATTTAGGACACTTGAATAGAGAAAGTGTTATAAAACACCAGAAAATTTAAAAATTAATTTCTAAAAACTCTTAGAACTGAGACACTGGTAGAGAGTAATAAGGGTTGGGCTTTTTTTTTTTTTTTTTTTTTTTTTTGGCTGACTCTGAACAGAACACTTCCTTTAACTACTATTAGTAAATATGTACATACAGAATAAAACAAAATGAAATTTTGCCCAAAGTACAGAATATCAGTGTTAGAAGGGAGCTGGATTTGATGATCACTGGGAATTAATTTTTGCCTTGCTGTATGTCACAAGTACTGGAAGCTTAGTAGTAAGGAATTCCCCTGCCAATGTAAAGGTACAGTTTTGATCCACCAGCAGCTCCATGGGAGAAGAATGGACAATTTCCTCTTATGCAATTTACTGATAGGCTTGAGATCTGAATCATGGTGCTGTTTGTATTAACTGGAAGAGCTTAACTAACCATTTAATATTTCTGAACTTTATTTTCTTCTAATGATTTACATACACTATTGAGCTTGTTGTTGTTGTTGTTAAGTGCCATCGACTATTGATCTTACAAAACCAAAACTGATCATAGTTGTAGTTATTTGTCCTGCTGTTGCTGTCATATACTGTTGAATCACAACTGAATCACAGCTGACCCTCCAGTAGGTTTTCAGAGGCAGTAATTTACATGGGAAGAGATTGCCCATATTTTTCTTTGGAGCAGCTGATGAATTCAAATCATAAACCTTGAAATGGCAGCAAAACTCCTTGTTAAGGTAAGAAAGATGTTTGAGGAATCAGTAATCAATGTTTTTGTTTGTGGTGTTTCCTCCTTGCCC